TCTAGTACTGAGCCATAGCACAAGGCACCTGCAACTTTCACCCATGACAAGTGAACATCACCGATGAAATTAGTGAACATACATTACCACTGTTTTCAGTGAACATCGGAACACCCTGAAGACTGATAACTAAAAACGAATCCTTGACGAAGGACGTGACCCGTCAACCTTGACTTGTATCTCAGATGAGTCAAGGCTGGATGAGTCAAGGCTCATGAGCCACTGGATGTTGAAGTAGCCATAGACAGCATGCCCATGCACCCTGCACCAGGCTCACACTCCAGTAATTCTATATTCATCAAGAAAAAATATATGATGACAGGTTCAAATCACTACGAGATAAAGCCTAGATACTGCTATCACACACTTAAAGGAGAGGAGATCACTTCACTTTATATAGTTGGTAGTAAAACAGATGCAACATGTGCACGATATCAATTACTGGAGAAGTATTAAGATGAATTTATACATTCCTACCCAAGAGAGCACCAAGAATACACGTCAACAAAGCATAATCCGCCTCATCCACAACAGCTCAGTCTGTCAGGCTACCGCACTCCTCCACGATATTTACACTCTCATATCACATATATAGACACTCACATAAACTATAGCACCGTGCCCTGTGCCCAGGACACTAGCAGTATACACGACCACACAACAAACCTCCACACTGATGTAAACCCAAGTCTTTGCCACACAGAACACACAAAGTCTTTGTTACAGAAAACATGACTTTCAATGAAGACAAGTTCCAGGTCCGGTGCTACGGTAACAAGGTAGATTTTAACTGCCTCACTATAAATATAAGGGTATAATTATCTGACCTCTTTCTGTGTTAAAAAGGCAACTTGATCAACACCTCCTATGGGTACCAGAGCAGGCTGCGTGGAACTCATGCACAGTCACACGTAGCTGTGACTGTGCATATTTAATGCATTGGAACTACTGATGGTTGAAAAGCGGTGCTTAAGAGCAGAACTAGACCGTGCAAGCACATCTAGGTGATCTCTCACACACACACACACACACACACACACACACACACATCCATTAACAGGTGAAGATGTACACACGAGCACACCCTTGCAGTACTAAACATACATTATATACATACATCTAAACAACCAAAATGTATGCACTCTTACACATACACAGTCGGTCGAGAGGTGGGACCAAAGAGCCGAAGCTCAACCCCCGCAAGCACAACTAGGTGAGTACACGTAGAGGAAAAACAAAAGGAGAAAATAGATGGGTCAGAAAGGCGGGATCAAGAGCTAATAGCTCGATTCTTCATGCACAATAGAAAACACAAAACAAATAGTAAATACACATGCACACTAGCCAGCATCCTTCAGGGGGGGTTAGTGCCTTGGGAACCAGAGGACGGGCTCAGCGGGGACTTAATTGTTGCAAGTGCTCTATAAAAAGCCAGGCAGTAGGATAACACTGCAGAAGGTGGCGATAGAGGCAGCCACTCTAAGAGCAAGGGATGGGTATAAGAACTGTAAGGAGCCTACCTTACCTTGAGGTTACCTTGAGGTGCTTCCGGGGCTTAGCGTCCCCGCGGCCCTGTCGTCGACCAGGCCTCCTGGTTGCTGGATTGATCAACCAGGCTGTTAGACGCGGCTGCTCGCAGCCTGACGTATGAGTCACATGAGTGACTTATACGAGAGTGAGAGCCTAACTAAGGAGTGGAGATGAAGAAGAGGACTGCAGTGACCGGGACGCTGCTATATGAAGGGCAGCAAGAGGCAACAATGCAGGGAAGGTCTTGAGGCAAGTAGGGACAAGAAGGAAAGACGCGCCCAGTAAAGGCAGTCTTCACCAACACAACTACAAAAGAGGCAATCTTACAAAACAATAAATTCAACATATACAAAGTTAGTTAGTATGTCTTCAGAGGGATATAATAGAGGCAGAAATAGCAGCAGATTTAAGGAAGAACTGCAGGGAGAGGGAGCAGGATGGAGGTAGGGAGTCCATGGGCTGCAGGTCGACAGCTCTCAGAGGTAAGTATAACATAAGCATCAACCATTCTACTACCAACACACGCCCTCCCCCTAGCCTTCTCTCCACAAAATTATCCCACAAAAATTGTCACGTAACTTTAACCAACCTGGGGGGGGCCTGAGTGGGCAGCGCTTCGGATTCGTAATCCTGAGCGGGTTCGATCCCCGGTGAAGGCGGAAACAAATGGGCAGTTTCTTTCACCCTGATGCGCCTGTTCACATAGCAGTAAATATATACCTGGGAGTTAGACTACGGGTTGCTTCCTGGGGATATGTAACAAAAAAAAGGAGGCCTGGTCGAGGACCGGGCCGCGGGGACGCTAAGCCCTGAAATCATCTGAAGATAATCTCCAGATGATAACCTCTAAGCCCCTCTACTGCCATACGTTGTAAGCCCTGGCCGACCCCACTCAGGTACCTTAATGTGCCCTGCCTCCTCCCTGGAGCCCGCTGTCTTCCCTCTACCTCACACTGCTCCACGCACATTAACACTTTATGTAGGGCATACGTAAGTCTGTGTATCTATGTATTTACGTATGTAGGTTAGCTTAGCACTTTAAAAGCACCGAATCACCTTCTGTGGTTGAGTGTTCAATAAACCCTTGAACTATATGTTTAACACTTCTCTAACCCTGTCCATGGAGGACAGAAGAAAATGTATATATGCTGGTTAGCATTGTAAATGTCTGGCCACGTCTGTGGTAGAAAAAAAAAAAAAAAAAAAAAAAAAAAAAAAAAAAAAAAAAAAAAAAAAAAAAAAAAAACTGCTCCAGGCTGCATCACACCAAGTGTTGACTCACCCCTAACACAACCCACCTCCCTCTAACACCCGTCACGCCACACTCACTCATGTGCTGGAGGCTCACTCCATACACAGTTGCAAATGTAGATATGATAGAGTCCAGTAGGCTCAGGAACCTGTACACCAGTTGATTGACAGTTGAGAGGCGAGACCAAAGAGCCAGAGCTCAACCCCCGCAAGCACAACTAGGTCATTACACCAGGGACTGTACAAGAATGCAAGGGGGGAGGGGGACCAGTGGGGTTAGAAAGTCAACACACTCTGGGAACGAACACACACACACACACACACACACACACACACACACACACACACACACACACACACACACACACACACACACACACACACACACACACACACAGGAATCTGTACACCAGTTGATTGACAGTTGAGAGGCGAGACCAAAGAGCCAAAGCTCAACCCCCGCAAGCACAAATAGGCGAGTATAAATAGGTGAGTACACACACACACACACAATGTAATATATACATATGTAATAACAGAATAAAACTGTCACATCCACAAATAAATGCAGTGTTCTCTCAGGCCTAAAGCAGTAAGAAAGGAGACGTAATAAAGACGAGGGTAACTGACCTTGGTGTTCAGAAAGGACTGAAGATTCAAGATAGTGATGGCAAGCTGTGAAGGACTCTAGAAGAAGCAGGTGCCATAACAATGCAGTGATAAACAACAACAGTGAGAGAAATAAACAACCCTGCGCAAGATTACAAGACACAAGACAAGAGTATTACAGAAACAATGGGGCAGTTACTGCTGTAATGGAAAGAACACCCCAAGGATCTCGTCTGCTAATCATGGAAGACTTCAATCACGGTCCGTCTAATTACCAAAAACTACCACATACTACACACGCTTCAGAAAACTTCCTGGCAATACGTTAGTAATGAATAAATATGATATATTTACTCATTACAATGTTGGTACTGAACATACAACATGAAAAAACATAATTTTAATCCGAAAAAGTATCTTTTTATAAAGAAATTAGACGAAAATAAAAAGCTGGTGACGCCAAATCAAGTCGACGATCCAAGCTTCGGTTAGGTTAGGTTAGGTTTGGTTAAGTTAGGTTAGGATAGGTTAGGATAGGTTAGGTTAGGTTAGGTTAGGTTAGGTCAGCCTAACTTAATATATCATATTTATTCATTACTAACGTATTGCCAGGAAGTTTTCTGAAGCGTGTGTAGTATGTGGTAGTTTTTGGTAATTAGACGGACCCTTCAATCATGATATTGACAGACTGGGAGAACAGAGAACCTTATGGGGGTCAAATATAATTCGTGAATATAATCAACTAACATTAGCAGCAACAAGATGCTTCCTAACTCACCATGTCAAGGGACCCATAAGAGTGACTCGCATTAGGGGTAATGCGAGCCGCCACCACTACACCTGACACTCATCATAAGCGAGTCATGACAAGTATGCGGTGAAGCCACTTAGGAATGAGTAATCCACGTGTACTGGCATTTAAGCTTCGGATGAAAGTAGGAATGGCATGTTTAGGAAAGGAACCAGGAGGTAAACGGCTAGCATAGTGGAAGTACGCATGAAGAACTGAGAAAACACGATTTAGAGGGGAAACCACACAGCACATGAGGGACTTCCTCACAGAAATGGCGGGGAAGCCGTCGACAAAAGTGTTCCCGTAAAGAAAGAAAACGAAAAAGAGAGAGAGAGAGCGAGAGAGAGAGAGGGGGGGAAGGGGAGGTAAAGGGGATAATGAAACAATAGTATTTGCCATGATTACACAAAGAAGTGAGATTGGTGTTGAGAGCAGCCGACGACACTGGCCTTCAAGACCTGGCCCCAACCATGACCCCCCTCCCCCCAGAGGCTCTTCAACACCCGGCCCCGAAATAGTTACCCTCAAACAGCTGTCACATGCGACACCACCCTTGATCAGCCAGACTGTTGTGTGTGAGGCCGTCGTGCAGCACCGGTCACTACAGCCCCCACACGACGCACGGTAGGCAGGCATGGACGAGACGGCCCATGAGAGAGGATACACTATGGGTGGGTTGGTCTCTCACACACACACACACACACAAGGGGTTGCGAAAACAGCAGGGGAGGGAAGCAACATGAGGGGGGACTATACACTAGGAAAGAGAAGACACTAGAGGAGGGGTTGCCACACTAGAGGAGCGCTGGTGACGTACCTGGTGGTGGTAGGACGATTGTAGAGGATACGAGGCTGGCTGGGAGGCCACTGTTGGCTGTCCTGAGTGTGGCCCGCTGTGTGGCCCGCTGTGTGGCCCAGGGTACCTCACCCCACCATACTGGGGGCCACCACCCCCCACCCCACCGCCCCCACTCTGTTGGGGCCCCTGCTGTTGCTGCGGCCCCCCGCCACTCGGCTGTTGTTGCTGCTGCTGTTGCTGCTGCTGTTGTTGCTGCTGCTGCTGCTGCTGCTGCTGTTGTTGTGATGTTGCTGTTGTTGTTGATGTTGTTGCTGTTGATGTTGCTGCTGCTGCGCCTTCTGCTGTGGACTGGGTCCAACCCACTGAGCGGCCCCTGCCTGCTGTTGCTGCTGTTGTTGTTGCTGCTGTTGTTGCTGCTGCTGCGGTCCCTGCTGCTGTGAACTCTGCTGTTGATGGTGAGGTCCTGGGCCTTGCTGGGGTGGTCCCTGTGGTGGTGGTGGTGGTGGTGGTTGTTGCTGTGGCGGTGGCGGGTGAGGGGCGTGGGGAGTGTGAGGGGCGTGAGGGGCGTGGGGGGCGTGTCTGTACTGTAGAGCAGCAGGACCCGGGCCGGGGTTGGAAGGGGGCCGGCCGCCCTTGCCAGGTGGGCCGCCCCCAGAGTGGCCCTGGGGGTACCCCGGCCGTGGACCGTTACTGGCCTGAAACACACAAACCAAGTTACTTGACTCAGCCTCATGCACCGACTTACTCTACTTCACCAAACACTATGTCAACTCCCGTCACCACACACACACACTCACACACACACACACACTGTATGGAATCTCTACACCAGTTGATTGACAGTTGAGAGGCGAGACCAAAGAGCCGAAGCTCAACCCTTGCTAGTACAACTAGGTGAGTACACACACACATCCCGTTCCTAATATACGTATGCGATTTAACGGAGAAAGAAAGGTCTTTATTGGCAATGTTTGCTGACGACGCTAAGCTAATGGGGCGAATCAGAGCTAAGGAGGAATGCAATACATTGCAAGTTGAACTAAGTAATCTCCACAAATGGTCTGATAAATAGTTACTAGACTTTAACCCTGACAAATGCAAGGTTATGAGGATAGAACTAGAATCAAGAAGACCTAAAATACAGACCAGGATGAAGGGAAGACAACTTCCAGCTTCTGAAAAACAGAGATTTAGGAGTGGACATAACTGGGGATCTAACACCAGAGGCCCACACCAGCAGGATAACGAGGGGCAGCAGACGCCATACTGGCAAACCTCTGGTTATCCTTCACCAACTTGCACAGAGAGCTCTTCCGAGCGCTGAATACTTACTTTGCAAGACTCTTACTGAGCGTGCTGCCGCAGCATGGAACCCCCATTCCGAAAGAAAACGAAAGTAGAGCAAAATTATAAAGGTCCAAAAATATCAACAAAACTCGTACCTGAGCTAAGGGGACAGAGGTATGAAGAAAGACAGAGAGAGCACTAGATATCTCTACACTAGAGGAAACAAGAAATAGTGCTGACATGATTGTGACGTACAAGATACTAAAGGGATTGACAAATTAGATACAGAAGCAATGTTCAAAGTGAGAAACAAGGGGACATAATTGGAAATAATTGGAAACTGAATTAACACGTAAGTTACAGAGATGTTAAAAAGAACATGTTCAGTCCGTGTGTTGTAAATGGGAGGAACGGAATAGGTAAGGAAGTTCTCGAAGCTAGTTCGATACACAATCTTAATTATTAATATGATAAGAATAACGAGTGAAAAAGTCACAGCATTGAATTACAGATGGTGGAAAGGTGGGGGTTGGGAGCTGAAGCTCGCCCACACAACCAGTTAAGTGTGCGTGTCAGTCAGATATATATATATGTAGGAGATATCAGTGAAAATATAGGTCGGGAGTTGATACATTAGACAACTGACGCTAGAAAGGCAGGGTCCAAGAGCTAAAAGCTCGATTTTGCAGGCACAGATAGTACAAACACACACACACACACAGTGCAGAGTGATTAAGATAGGCGTAGGGAGCAGGAGGCCAAACACAAGGTACCAGGTGGGAGAGGTTATCCTTCAGGAGTCAGGACGAGAGAAAGATCTGGGGGTTGATATCACGCCAGACCTATCTCCTGAAGCCCACATCAAAACGATAACATCAGCGGCGTATGCAAGGCTGACGAACATAAGAACTACCTTCAGAAACTTGTGTAAGGAATCATTCAGAACCTTGTATACCTCATACATCAGACCAATACTGGAATATGCGGCTCCAGCCTGGAGTTCACATCTAGTCAAACACAAAACGAAATCAGAAAAGGTTCAGAGGTATATCACCAGGCTAGTTCCCGAGCTGAGAGGAATGAGCTATGAGGAAAGATTGCTGTAACTGAACCTCATGACACTGGAAGACAGAAGAGTTAGTGGAGACATGATCATTACCTACAAAATTATCAGACTCCCAGGATGGGACACAGGCAGCCTTTATTGACCTAAAGTCAGCTTTCGATGTAGCGAATGGCGAAATAATATTAGAGCAACTTGCTGAATTTGGAATCAAAGGTAATCTTCTGAGTTGGATAAAGAGCTACCTATCCAACAGGCGTGCTAGTGTCCTATTTAAAGGAGTTAAAAGTACAAGAACAGATGCATTCGAACTAGGCACACCTCAAGGCGGTGTCCTAAGCCCTATGCTCTTCAATATACTTATGCACAAACTTATCCATGACATACCTGTACAACCTACGGAAACAGTTATATGTTATGCTGATGACATTTGTATTATGGCACACAGTAAACCAAGGCTACAAATGTTACTTGATGCATTCTCCAAGAAAGTAGTAGAATGTGGCCTCATAATCTCTGTTGATAAAACAAGGGTTCTTATTCCCCATTCTCTTCATGCTAACTATACTATTAATGGAGTGCCCGTGGAGACTTGTGAGTCTTATAAATATCTTGGAGTCGAGGTTAATGATACAAATCTCATCAGCAACCTGCGTAAAAAACTTGTTGAGCGTCTTAAACCTCTCAGAACTCTTGTTGGCAAAGGATTTGGCATTAACATAAAATATGCTCGTAGTTTTTATATTGCCTTTATACGATCTGTTGTTGATTATTATGCCTTGCATCTTCTTAATTTTTCTCCTAAACAATTACAAGGCCTAGATGTAGTACAGAATGATGCCATGCGCATCATCCTGGGTTGTCCTAGAACTGTCAGAATTGTTAACATGAGAAAGGAACTAAACTTACCTTCCATTTACGAAAGAATAGTTCTACTTAGTACTATGTTTTGCGCCAAAACTTTGAAAAATAATGGTCCCCCCAGCTCTATTCAAATTAAATTGAGATCCATTCTAAACAATTCTGACTGTTCCCTCAATCCGCCGCAAAAAGCTCCCTACAGTGTGTGGCTCAGTTGTTGTGTCTATAATCTTCAGAAACTGAATGTATCTCTTAACCCTGATAAAACTGTTCACTATATTCCCCCTTGGAAAGATGTGGAGGTCTCTCTGCATTATACTCCCATCAGTGTAAAACAAATGTATAACACTGACATTTTGAGATGTATAACATTAGAAGCTATTGACAGTCATCTTCAAATTCTCAAACCGACTGAATCCTATGCCTTTACTGATGGCTCTGTGCAGTTAGGCACTGGTAGAACAGGTTGTGCATGTGCAGTGTATAAAGGGAATGAAATGATCATGACTAGTACACAGAGATTGAACAACTGGGCAAGCACGACACAGACCGAGCTATTGGGTATTTATCTAGCCACTGAATACCTTAAGCTCAATGGTGGTGGAGTTATTTTCTGTGACTCTAAAAGTGCTCTGCAGTCCTTAAATAACCCATCACAATGTATGTCTGAAGTAGCTTGTAATATTAAATGGAATGTAATTTTTGCCAATGATAATAATTCTTGTATAAAATTTGTGTGGATCCCATCCCATGTTGGAGTTGAAAAACATGACTTTGTAGATCAATTGGCCAATGAGGCTTGCAGGAAAGAAAACATTGATTATGATTTTGGACTATCTAATGCAGTTATTAGAAACATACAAATTAAAGAAATTAATTCAGATTTAGAAGAACTAAGAAATGCACAGAGACCTGAAAGCTGCAGTATTAAAAGTTATGACAAGTTCTGTAATAATAGGTATTTGTATGGTCAGCACAGTAACCGGACCAGGCAATGTGATGTAGTAATTGCGCGAATTCGCCTTGGCTATAGACACATCTGGCAGGTTAGTGAGGCTGAGCCACTACCAGAATATTCAGATTGTAAACTCTGTGATAAACCTTTAATGCATTCACTAGAACACTATATTGATGAATGTGAAACCGTAAAGGACTTTAGACCTCCTGGCCTCTTGTACCACCAACTGTGTAACTATTTTATTGACTCAGGTGTTCTGGACGACATCCTAACAATTTACCCAAAATTTGCTAGGAATTGATAGGGTAGATAAGGATAAACTGTTTAACACGGGTGGTACGCAAACGAGGGGACACAGGTGGAGACTGATTACCCAAGTGAGCCACAGGGACGTTAGAAACTTTTTTTTCTGTGTCAAGAGTAGTTAACAGACGGAATGCATTAGGCAGTGATGTGGTGGAGGCTGACTTCATACACAGTTTCAAATGCAGATATGAAAGACCAATAGGCTCAGGAATCTGCATGTCAGTTGATTGACAGTTGAAAGGCAAGACCAAAGAGCCGAAGCTCAACCCCCGCAAGCACAACTAGGTGAGTACCATGAGGTGGAAACAAAGGTATGGGACATAATATTTCACAACAGATGTATAAGGAAGTTACAATAGTATACATCTACCTCTGATCTTTAATGAGGCAATTGAGAAGGGAGGGTTACCCATCTGTTGGAAGACGGCAAATGTCTTACCAATGTAGAAGACAGGAGATAGGAAGGAGTCACTAAACTACAGACCAGCATCACTGACAAGCATCCCCCGCAAGGTACTCGAAAGTATAATTAAGAATAAGACTTGTTAAACACATAGAGATGATGAGATATTTGCGAGAACGGGTTGATATGTATACAAGCACCAACATGGCTTCAGGGAAGGGAAATGATAGGGAGAGTAGTGGTAGTAGTGGTAGTAGTGGTAGTAGTGGTAGTAGTGGTGGTAGTGGTGGTAGTGGTGGTAGTGGTGGTAGTGGTGGTAGTGGTGTAGGCCAATGTGAGGTGGCACGGAGTTGTGTACACGCACGTAAGTCCAACATGCCGCCCCTTTGTAGGCACTCCCGCGGCCCACACAAAGGATAGTGTAATTCGTCATTTAACGGCCACAATTGCAGTTTTTAACATTTAAACTATCACATTTTGATAGATTTCAAAAGTACAAGAGAAACACGAATGCAGCTGTGAGGCAAGTGAGTTAATACTTCTAAAAATAGATATAACGTTAACTGTTCATTCACCTTTGATGTTACCAAGCAAGAAGAAAGCCTGCAGATACAACTATTAGAAATACAGTCGGATTCTACACTCAGAGCAAAGGATCTTGAAGTGAGGAGACCTGGTTTCATTTCAAACCTTCCTGAAAAGTTTAAAACCTTCAGAAAGTTTGGCACAAGGATTATGGCAATGTTCAGTTCTACCTGAGAGTGTGAACAGTTATTTTCCTTCGTGAAATGAACCAAAACTTCTCGGAGAACAAGGCAGACTGATCAACACTTGTCGTTTCTGATCCAAGTGGCAACTGCACACACATTTGAGCCAGACACAGCAAAAGTTGCCATTAAAAGAGGTGTCAAGCCTCAGCACAAAACACTAAAAATGATTGAACATCGTAAATAAATGTTCATTTTGAACTAATGTAATTTTTGTACAATGTATTTGTTGCTGTTGCATAGAAGTCTATGTTGCCGTATAATTTTTTTTTCTTTTGTTAAATTACTTCATTACTTTGCATTCATGAATGTGGCGAGCCGCTAAACTATTTGTATACACATTGTATGTTTCCAAGTTTAAGTAATACACATATTATGCAATAATTTTTATTAAATGACTTGACCAGACCACACACTAGCAGGTGAAGGGACGACGATGTTTCGGTCCGTCCTGGACCATTTTCAATCGACCCGAGAATGGTCCAAGACGGACCGAAACGTCGTCGTCCCTTCACCTTCTAGTCTGTGGTCTGGTCAACATACTTCAGCCACGTTATTGTGACTCATCGCCTGCATTAAATGACTTCAAATAGTTGTGGTGTGTGGCCCTCGGGGACCCTCAGATGTGGTGTGTGGCCCTCATGACACCACCAATGTGGCCCATATGGCCCTCAGGGACCCTCAGATGTGGTGTGTGGCCCTCATGACACCACCAATGTGGCCTATATGGCCCTCGGGGACCCTCAGATGTGGTGTGTGGCCCTCATGACACCACCAATGTGGCCCATATGGCCCTCAGGGACCCTCAGATGTGGTGTGTGGCCCTCATGACACCACCAATGTGGCCTATATGGCCCTCGGGGACCCTCAGATGTGGTGTGTGGCCCTCATGACACCAATGTGGCCCATATGGCCCTCGGGGACCCTCAGATGTGGTGTGTGGCCCTCATGACACCAATGTGGCCCACAGGGCCCTCGGGAGACCGTCAGTTTAACATGCCTGGTGTACAGGGTAGCTCCCAGGACCTATACTATTCCCTATTGATGGCAAATGACGCCAATGTTTGCTGGTGAAGCAACATTAATGAGAAGAGTCGGTACAGATCAACATTGTGAAAAACGCTAATGAAATACGTAGACCAGCTGCAGAACCAAGCCTGGACACGACCACCAGAGTTCAATAGGGATAAGTGTAAGGTGATGAACATGTGTAGAAGGGACAGGAGACCAGCATGACGGTAAACAATGAAGGGGTCACCCCACAGCCCCTAATTGAAGAGACGCAGAGTCTTAACCCCCCCCCCCCCCTCCCCCCCCGAGACACACAGCAACGGGACAGCGTCCGCAGCATATGCCAAACTGGGGCCAGATTCACGAAGCCGTTACGCAAGCACTTACGAACCTGTACATATTTTCTCAATCTTTGGCGGCTTTGTTTACAATTATTAAACAGTTAATGAGCTCCGAAGCATCAGGAAGCTGTTTATAACAACAACAACATTTGATTAGAAAGGCTTCATGCTTGTAAATGGCTAAATAAATGTAAACAAAGCCGTCAAATATTGAGGAAAGATGTACACGTTCGTAAGTACTTGCGTAACTGCTTCGTGACTCGGGCTCCTGGACAATACAGGAGCATCTTTCAGTAAATCAATAAGGAGGCATTCAAAATATTGTACAACACTTACGTCAGGCCAGCCCAAGAGTATGCAGCCCCCACGTCCAGCCCTTACCTTTAAAAACACACAAGGGAGAGGATGGGGAGTGGAACACGTTAAGAGATACATATAAAACGTACAGGAATACACATGGTGGAGCAAGGAGGACATGTTCACGATGACCACCAACAGAACAAGCTGCTCATGGAGGCCTGTGGTCACAGGTAAGCCACGGAGATTGTATACAGTTATCTTTTAATAGTAATTAATGTTGTCGGGGCAGACACCTGTGGATACACCTGTGTATACGTCAGACTTATACCGAGGTCCCCTCAGGATGCAGCCTATAGCCTAGGCTACCTCCTCTAGGCAACCTCCCCTATGCAACCTCCCCTAGGCCACCTCCCCTAGGCTACCTCCCCTAGGCCACCTCCCCTAGGCCACCTCCCCTAGGCCACCTCCCCTAGGCCACCTCCCCTAGGCCACCTCCCCTATGCTATAACCGACTCCCTTCCCCAGGATGCAACCCCACAACCAGCTGACTGTAAGGTAAACAAAGACTTTAGGTTCCAGGAAACCTGCCCAACCATTTCTGTTCCGCTCGGGATTTGAACCCGGGATTCCCGATTGAGAGTCGACAACGAACCCACCTGTACTATCTTTCAGGTCGCATGGCCTGAACTTTTTTATGGCCACATTTCTGTAGCTTTGTGTGTGGCTGTTATATTTGGTTGTTGATACTCAACAGTGATTGGCTACGGTGGTTTCCTCAATGGACACGGGTCTTTTTTAATCCTCTCTGAACTAATTGGCAGTCAGTCTTTCTTAATTCAGTCAGTCTAGGAATCTTTCTGCGCGGGCCCTAAGCCTCTGACTGGCTCGCTACTTGTTTCTTGTTTCTGTCTTATTTAGACGGTATATGAGTATTTATGACTTATGTTGGCTTCGGTATGACAACTGTTAACATGTCAAAGGAACTACATGGTTGATGGGGTTCTTCTACTCCCCAAGCCCGGCCCGAGGCCAGGCTTGACTTGTGACAGCTTGCTCCACGAGACTGTTGCTTTCAGCGCCCCCGCAGGCCTACGTATCCACCACAGTCCGGTTGATCCGTCGGACCTAAGGACTATCAAAAGAAGAAACTAAGATGAACTACCCCTAAGGAAGAACTAAGACTACCCTCTATTAATAAGAGAGTAGTCCTACTTAATATTATGCTACATGCCAAAATTACAAAAAAACCAATGCCCCCGCACTCCACCCAGAAGCACTGTTCAAATATAATTGAGATCCATTTTAAACCCCTCTAGACCAATCCTTCAACCCTCCACAAACACTGGTTGATACCTGGTTGATGGGGTTCTGGGAGTTCTTCTACTCCCCAAGCCCGGCCCGGGGCCAGGCTTGACTTGTGAGAGTACTACACTGCTAGAAGTACACTGCAGTTCTCAAATAACACATCACTTATGTATACAGTTTGTGTCCATTCTGTCCCGTGTTGGAGTTGGAAAGCATGCAAAGGCAAATATAAACAGTAACTTCAGGCTATATAATGCAATTATCAAAAATATACAAATGAAATGATTAATTCAGATTTACAAGAAGTAAGAAATGGCCCAAGACCAGAAAGCTGCAGCATTAAGACCAACTGACAACTTTGGTAAGTTGAGGCGTACATTTGGAAGGTGAGAGCTGTCATCTTCCCAGACATTAGGCACCAGACATTAGGCACCAGGCATCAAGCACCAGGCACCAAGCACTAGGCACCAAGCACTAGGCACGCAGCACTAGGCACCAAGCACCAGGCACCAAGCACTAGGCACCAAGCACTAGGCACCAAGCACTAGGCACGCAGCACCAGGCACCAAGCACTAGGCACCAGGCACCAAGCACTAGGCACCAGGCACCAAGCACTAGGCACGCAGCACTAGGCACCAAGCACCAGGCACCACGCAGGTACTGTGGTGGTGGGGCCAGGTGGCCTAGGCTATAGGCTGCTCACCCGGCAAGTTACTAAGGCTGACTTACTATACAATCAACTGTGTAACTATTTCACTGGCCGACCTCTCACAGTGTTCAAGAGAACTTGATAAAACACCTCCAAAGGATACCTGATCAACCAGGCTGTCATTCATACGCCAGGCTGCGAGCAGTCGCGTCCAACAGCCTGGCTGACCAGTCCAGCAACGAGGAGGCCTGGGCAAGGACCGGGCCCGTAGGGACGCTAAGCCCCGAAGCCATCACCAAGGTACCCTGGTGTACTGTATGACATCCTAACAATGTAACCAATATATGCTTGTCTAAATACGAAACATCAGCATCGCCACTGTCCTGTGTGGCAGTGAATATACTCAGCATCCTCACTGGTCTGTGTGACAGTGAATATACTCAGCATCCTCACTGTCCTGTGTGGCAGTGAATATACTCAGCATCCTCACTGGCCTGTGTGGCAGTGAATATACTCAGCATCCTCACTGGCCTGTGTGGCAGTGAATATACTCAGCATCCTCACTGTCCTGTGTGGCAGTGAATATACTCAGCATCCTCACTGTCCTGTGTGGCAGTGAATATACTCAGCATCCTCACTGTCCTGTGTGGCAGTGAATATACTCAGCATCCTCACTGGCCTGTGTGGCAGTGAATATACTCAGCATCCTCACTGTCCTGTGTGGCAGTGAATATACTCAGCATCCTCACTGGCCTGTGTGGCAGTGAATATACTCAGCATCCTCACTGTCCTGTGTGGCAGTGAATATACTCAGCATCCTCACTGGCCTGTGTGGCAGTGAATATACTCAGCATCCTCACTGGCCTGTGCGGCAGTGAATATACTCAGCGCCCCCACTGTCCTGTGTGGCAGTGAATATAAGCAGTATATTCCACATGCTCACGTGTATTCCATGTCGACGAGTGAAATTCAATATTGTTCACGGTTGTTCAACATCCTCCCAGCGAGTATAAGAAATATTGCCGGAACAACTGTGGACATCAACATGAGAAAACTACATAATTTTCTTCAAGAAGTGTCGGACCAACCGGGCTGTGGTGGGCCAGCGGGCCGCTCCAAGCAACAGCCTGGTGGACCAAGCTCTCACAAGTCAAGCCTGGCCTCGAGCCGGGCCTGGGGAGTAGAACAACTCCCAGAACCCCAACACAAGCAGGTATCAAGCACCTCGCTACAGTCAAACCTAATCGAATTACTCAGATTATGCAAAAGTGAATATTAATATTTTCAGTTTTATTAATATTAAATTTTATTAAACCGAATATTAATATTTTATTAATAAAGATGACAATAATAATCATGAAAAATGGAACTTAAATTACAAGGCCCCACAGGAAATGATGGACTGCAACCAGAGTTGATGTATTTGTCAGTGGGCAGAGTGAAGAGAACAGAGGGGGCTACCAGAGAACAGAGAGGGCTACCAGAGAACAGAGGGGGCTACCAGAGAACAGAGGGGGCTACCAGAGAACAGAGAGGGCTACCAGAGAACAGAGTGGGCTACCAGAGAACAGAGAGGGCTACCAGAGAACAGAGTGGGCTACCAGAGAACAGAGAGGGCTACCAGAGAACAGAGAGGGCTACCAAAGAACAGAGAGGGCTACCAGAGAACAGAGGGGGCTACCAGAGAACAGAGAGGGCTACCAGAGAACAGAGGGGGCTACCAGAGAACAGAGAGGGGCTACTAGAGAACAGAGGGGGCTACCAGAGAACAGAGGGGGCTACCAGAGAACAGAGAGGGCTACCAGAGAACAGAGGGGGCTACCAGAGAACAGAGAGGGCTACCAGAGAACAGAGAGGGCTACCAGAGAACAGAGGGGGCTACCAGAGAACAGAGAGGGCTACCAGAGAACAGAAGGGGCTACCAGAGAACAGAGAGGGGCTACCAGAGAACAGAGAGGGCTACCAGAGAACAGAAGGGGCTACCAGAGAACAGAAGGGGCTACCAGAGAACAGAAGGGGCTACCAGAGAACAGAGGGGCGCTACCAGAGAACAGAGAGGGCTACCAGAGAACAGAAGGGGCTACCAGAGAACAGAGAGGGGCTACCAGAGAACAGAGAGGGGCTACCAGAGAACAGAGAGGGCTACCAGAGAACAGAAGGGGCTACCAGAGAACAGAAGGGGCTACCAGAGAACAGAGAGGGGCTACCAGAGAACAGAGAGGGCTACCAGAGAACAGAAGGGGCTACCAGAGAACAGAGAGGGGCTACCAGAGAACAGAGAGGGCTACCAGAGAACAGAGAGGGCTACCAGAGAACAGAAGGGGCTACCAGAGAACAGATAGGGGCTACCAGAGAACAGAGAGGGGTGCGTGAGGAACTGAGGAGTGAGAAGAGAAGCATGAAACAAGTGGGGGGGGGGGCACCTCAGGCATCACAAGGACTCCCGTGGAGCATCACAGCCACACAAGTGACAACTCAAGTAACACCTCGTCAAACTCACCCTAACAAGGCACTCATTCCCCTCACAGTGACTGCCCATTACTTAACCTCAGGGGCAGGTGGCCCTCCCTCCCCTCCCACAAGCGGGCCCTGAGGGACACATGAGAAGGGCTGGAAGAGGCAGGGGGGCTGGGAGGAAGGGGAAGAGAGAGAGGGGGGGGGAGGGGGCGGGGAGGAGGAAGCAGGACAGGTTTGTGGGTCAATACAGTGGTTGGAACACGTGATCAATATGTGGCTAGCTCAGCATACCTCTACTGCTATCACCTCCATTGATGCCTCCACTACCATCATTGATGCCTCCACTACCATCACTGATGCCTCCACTACCATCATTGATGCCTCCACTACCATCACTGATGCCTCCACTACCATCATTGATGCCACCACTACCATCATTGATGCCTCCACTACCATCACTGATGCCTCCACTACCATCACTGATGCCTCCACTACCATCATTGATGCCTCCACTACCATCACTGATGCCTCCACTACCATCACTGATGCCACCACTACCATCATTGATGCCACCACTACCATCACTGATGCCTCCACTACCATCATTGATGCCTCCACTACCATCACTGATGCCTCCACTACCATCACTGATGCCTCCACTACCATCACTGATGCCTCCACTACCATCACTGATGCCTCCACTACCATCACTGATGCCACCACTACCATCATTGATGCCACCACTACCATCATTGATGCCACCACTACCATCACTGATGCCTCCACTACCATCACTGATGCCTCCACTACCATCACTGATGCCTCCACTACCATCACTGATGCCTCCACTACCATCACTGATGCCTCCACTACCATCACTGATGCCTCCACTACCATCACTGATGCCTCCACTACCATCACTGATGCCTCCACTACCATCACTGATGCCTCCACTACCATCACTGATGCCTCCACTACCATCACTGATGCCTCCACTACCATCACTGATGCCTCCACTACCATCACTGATGCCTCCACTACCAACACTGATGCCTCCACTACCATCACTGATGCCTCCACTACCATCACTGATGCCTCCACTACCATCACTGATGCCTCCACTACCAACACTGATGCCTCCACTACCATCACTGATGCCTCCACTACCATCATTGATGCCTCCACTACCATACCTGCCCCCCACCCCCCCCCCCCCCACACACACACACAATCCTGGAGTATGCGGCCCCAGCATGGAGCCCGTACCTTGTCAAGCACAAGACGAAGCTTAAAAAGTGTAAGAGATATGCCTCTAGGCTGGTCCCAGAACTAAGAGGCATGAGTCACGAGGAAAGGCTGTGTGATCTGCACCTCACGTCGCTGGAAGACATGATCACCACATACAAAATTCTCCGGGGGAATTGACAGGGTAGACGAGGATGGATTATTTAACACGGGAGATACACGCACAAGGGGACACAGGTGGAAGCTGAGTACACAAATGAGGCACAGAGACATTAGAAAGAACTTTTTCAGTGTCAGAGTAGTTAGTAAATGGAATGCATTAGGCAGTGATGTAGTGGAGGCTGACTCCATACACAGTTTCAAGTGTAGATATGATAGAGCCCAGTAGGCTCAGGAACCTGTTCATCAGTTGATTGACGGTTGAGAGGCGGGACCAAAGAGCCAGAGCTTATCCCCCGCAAGCCCAACTAGGTGAGTGTACTCACTTCGCTGGAAGACAGAAGAGTTAGGGGGGACATGATCACCACATTCAAGATTCTGAAGGGAATTGATAGGGTAGATAAAGACAGTCTATTTAACACAAGGGGAACACGTATAAGGGGACACAGGTGGAAACTGAGTGCCCAAATGAGCCACAGAGATATTAGAAAGAACTTTTTTAGTGTCAGAGTGGTGGACAAATGGAATGCATTAGGAAGAGATGTGGTGGAGGCTGACTCCATACACAGTTTCAAGTGTAGATATGATAGAGCCCGATAGGCTCAGGAATCTGTACACCTGTTGATTGACGGTTGAGAGGCGGGACCAAAGAGCCAGAGCTCAACCCCCGCAAACACAACTAGGTGAGTACAACTAGGTGAGTACACGCACGCACGCACGCACGCGCGCACACCCCTGCCCCCCCCCCTTCCACAGGTACACCCCCTGCCCCCCCCTCCCCTCCCCAGGTACACCCCCTGCCCCCCCACCCCTCCCCAGGTAGGTGAAGGGGTCACCACAGCACCCCCGACAACATGCAGCCACAACACCATAGAAGTACTATCCCGGAACACTGCAAACTATATACACAAGACAACAACACAACTACGGCAAAGACTTCCCTGTGAGGGACCAGAGACGGGCGGAGGGGGGGGGGGTGAACGTGACACACACATATGTGAACGTGACACACACACATGACATATGTGAACGTGACATAGACAAGATACACAGCCATCCCAAGACACCATCAGCTGCTGGTCAACACTTGAGACCAGGGATGGGAGGTGGCTAGTCCATAACCTGGAAACACTTGCTTGGGAGGCAGAGACTATTGCTTGCTTGAGTGGCACTATGGTGGCAGGGACGGTGGCACTATGGTGGCAGGGGCAGTGGCACTATGGTGGCAGGGACAGTGGCACTATGGTGGCAGGGACAGTGGCCGCACTGATGGAGGTATAAGGATGGTGAGGGAAGGTGAGGGATGGTGTGTGAGGCAGGCAGAGAGTGACCAGCACAGTCACTCAGCCCTTGGCCTTGTCCCCCCCCCCCCCTTCACAAGGCGACACCAGTTACCCGAGGCGGCCACACCACCGGACAACACACACACACCTCAGGTGGCCACACCACCGGACAACACACACACACCTCAGGCGGCCACACCACCGGACAACACACACACACCTCAGGTGGCCACACCACCGGACAACACACACACACCTCAGGTGGCCACACCACCGGACAACACACACACACACCTCAGGTGGCCACACCACCGGACAACACACACACACCTCAGGCGGCCACACCACCGGACAACACACACACACCTCAGGTGGCCACACCACCGGACAACACACACACACCTCAGGCGGCCACACCACCGGACAACACACACACACCTCAGGTGGCCACACCACCGGACAACACACACACACACCTCAGGTGGCCACACCACCGGACAACACACACACACACCTCAGGTGGCCACACCACCGGACAACACACACACACACCTCAGGTGGCCACACCACCGGACAACACACACACACCTCAGGCGGCCACACCACCGGACAACACACACACCTCAGGCGGCCACACCACCGGACAACACACACACCTCAGGCGGCCACACCACCGGACAACACACACCTCAGGCGGCCACACCACCGGACAACACACACCTCAGGCGGCCACACCACCGGACAACACACACCTCAGGCGGCCACACCACCGGACAACACACACACACACCTCAGGCGGCCACACCACCGGACAACACACACCTCAGGCGGCCACACCACCGGACAACACACACACACACCTCAGGCGGCCACACCACCGGACAACACACACACACACCTCAGGCGGCCACACCACCGGACAACACACACACACACCTCAGGCGGCCACACCACCGGACAACACACACACACACCTCAGGCGGCCACACCACCGGACAACACACACACACCTCAGGCGGCCACACCACCGGACAACACACACACACACCTCAGGTGGCCACACCACCGGACAACACACACACACACACCTCAGGTGGCCACACCACCGGACAACACACACACACCTCAGGTGGCCACACCACCGGACAACACACACACACACCTCAGGCGGCCACACCACCGGACAACACACACACCTCAGGCGGCCACACCACCGGACAACACACACACACCTCAGGCGGCCACACCACCGGACAACACACAAAACTACACCCGCACGCCAATTCTTAATATGACAGTGTACAGTGAATTACTTGAGTACTTCATTATATGAGGTGGTGGAGGCCAGCCCCGTATACTCTGTCCTCACCTCACGTCCTCAGGAGGAGTTCAGTCTCACAGTGCTACTGTGTACCATGCTCACTACCCCAGCAACTTGACCCAAGTTCGGACCTCTGGACGATTAGGCCCAGTCCCCCCCCCCCCGCCCCCGGTGTTGGCCCCAGTACAGCCATACCGGAAGTAACTGCCAAACTGCATGTACTGCGAATGGCGTATAATTTTTCTGGCGTAACAAAGTAGGTTGAAGTTTTAAACAAGATGTAGTAGAGCGGTCACGGTGAAGGTGGTTAGGTCGAGACGCCAAGCACAGTCTCACGCCACCTAGTTATCAAGGTTTTGGTGATCTGAAAGCATACCTGGTTGATGGGGTTCTGGGAGTTCTACTCCCCAAGCCCGGCCCGAGGCCAGGCTTGACTTGTGAGTTTGGTCCACTAGGCTGTTGCTTGGAGCGGCCCACAGGCCCACATACCCACCCACATGTGGCCCACATACCCACCACCACATACCCATACGCATGTTGCAATTTCAATAATGTGTAAACTGCCGTGTGAACCTTAGTTCTCAGAGTATATTCGCACATTATTACCTGATTGTGTTATAAATCGATGGTATAAAATATAACAATTCTATGATTTTCTGTGATTAAGTTTTCTGTCAAATGATATTCTTGGGCAGCGGTCGCCAACCGTCCGGAGTTCTCAGTTAATCATTTTAAATCCCGCGGACCACTAACAAGAATTCCGCGGTCCACCAATCAAGAAATTATAGTTATTAAAGTAAACAACTGTACAAAATTTGATGCCATTTAATATAAGTTAAAAAAAATACACAGTTACATACAATACACAAATAAAATTGTCTCGTGGGTCACCAGTTGGCGACAGCTGTTCTAGGGGATACTCAAATAGTTTTCGAATTTCAAATTTCATGTTTGAGAATAATACAGTTACAGCATATTGAAACCTAACCAAACCAAACCTAAACCTAACCTAACCTAATTATAACCAAACCAAACCTAACCTAAGCTAATCATGACCAAACCATGAAAAGATCATAGAAAACAGCACTAATTACATAGATGTTTTGAAGTAATTACTATGAGGGTACA